TAATATGTGTAGGATTGTAGGGTCAATAAAAGGTCGCTAGCAGTATTACACACTTGCAAGTTTGCAGACGACCCAAACACACGTTTTCCATTCTCTTTGTTACATAATTTAAAGGTTTAAAATTCTCTCATTGTCGTTCACTTAAAATAAATAGAGCCTAAGTATGACAGCTGTTGGGGATCAGTTGTAGAAAAAAATATACTGTTCCGATCCCGATTAATACTACAAAAGTAATCTAATAAAGATAATTCTTTATTTCAGGATTGAAAATTATATGCAAAATAAAATATTACGCCGTCAGTAATATTTCACTTTACATATTACTTTTTAATTAGCCACGATGGTTTAGGTAGGTCGACATTTCTTATGGTTTAAATGATTTAAACAATGCCCGTGGGTGTATATCTTACCAATTTACTGTTAATTTTTTCCATACCAAATATGTAGGTCGTATGAATACGTCTTGTATCCCACAACTTTGTTTGCATTTCAGGATATGATCTATCTGTATACCAAATTTAATTAAAATCTGTTCAGTTTTTTAAGCGTGTTTGAATTAAACAGTTTTACCAACTTTCAGATTTATAAGTCGGATTTGAAATAAGAAATAACTTTCTATATAATTTCGGCCAGTAATTAGACTGTGACGTTCCAAGGTTTCGCAAATGTTAACGGGCTACTCACTTTTACTAACTTGTGATATGTCCTACCTGTCGTAACAATCTGAAACATCGTTAACTGACAAGTTATAATGCGATCGTAAGACTTCCGTGGACATACTTGGCCGTCCGCTAACTTGGATAACGTACGGTGACATGTGACCATTAAGAGGGCTCTCACCGTAATGCGAGGACGTCGGAAATACCACTCATATTTTCGCAGAATTCGACGATGATTTAACTTTGACATAACCGTAAATAAAAAATACCAACTTTTATCAAGTTTATTCATCACCAGTAGTAATATTATAAATAAGATAGTTTAAGAAGTAGATTTAGCTTCGTAAAACAAAAACTGATTTAAATAGTGATAAAAACATTGATAACTCATAATTTTTATTTTAAAATAAGTAAATCGATGTACAACGAAATATTTCAAAAACACGTTATATTTATAAGAACGCATAATCGTGTTGAAATTTAGCCTTAAGGAGTACATATCGGGTGCTATAGGGAAACACGATTAAAGAAAATTCACAGCTGATTAAATTTCATATAATTTTGTAAATGTTATACTATTTACTTTTTTAATATCCATGTACTTATACTTATGTACTTATGTCTAGTTGTTTACCTCAAATGAATAAAAAATAAATAAACAGTGAATATTTTTAAATGTTTGTGGCATGTACAAACATCTGTAAAACTAATATACGCAATTTAGGAATCCTGGATTTAAAAAGGACTGTATAACAAGGAAGCTTAGCTTTCCTTTGTGATTACATCCAGAGAGGCAGGGGGCGCTCCTGTCCCACTGACCTAGTGACACGGTGCCCAAAGCAAAAAGCTCTATTCCGTACTGTACAACTGACACAGCGGATAAACGTGAATGTGTAAATACACCGCCCGTTTCGTACTCCATATAGCCAATGAATGATTGATGCGCCTGCTTTATGTTATTGTTCGTGTCAATTTCCTGTGTTAAAAATGAATGTACATTAGTGACGTGCCAAATCGTCCTTTTTTTGGTATTCAAATATTTTGGTATTCGTTTAAAAATGAATCGAATCTTGATTCAAGCATGACGACTTAAGCTCAACTCAAGTACTTGTATAAGTATTTAAGTACTTCATCATTTTTTAAGTTTTAAAGATAATTTTAAAGATTCAAGTCTTTTTTTAAATGGTTTCTGACGATTACTTTTAATGAATAATAAATTTGCACTTACAAATTTACTAATTTTATAATAAAGTTTATTCCTAATTAGTTTTAACAGAAATAAAAACTTAATTATTATTTGAGTACCGCGAGTACTAGAATCCAATATTTGTGTAGCGAGTAGGTATTCGAGTCAGCGTGACTCGGCACATCACTAATGTCCAATGTCAATTAACCTGCAATATTCATCTGTGCATATACTTTTGAAACTCTTCATAAGAGTGTAATACTGATTTAAAATACATGTAATCCACTTTGTCTGGTCCTTTGCTTGAGGGGAACTTGTTACAACTCTTGATATTTGACCTTGAGGTATCAAAATGATCAGCGGAGGTACTCTTAAAATAAATTCCAATAAATTGATATTAAAATTGAAACGTTTCGCACTCTCGAATTGCAATACTACATAATGATTCTATATTGTTCTGATATATGCTTATTAATATCACTTATCAATGCAAACTATTGTAAACCGATCCCAATTATAACTTAATTCCTAACCGTTGTTTCATGAGTGCAGTATAAGATTGTCCTTGGCAATAGATTGGATTGATATTGGATTCAAGAGTAGACCTGCTGGTCCTTTTATGTTGTTGATATTTCTATTTCTTTAATCACATATAATATACTCGTACTCGATAAAATATGAACAGAGTGTAAAAGCCTGCTCAGGCGATGGACAATCAATAGTGTTTATTTGCGTTATCACGTCATATTGAATTGCATGCTACATCGCACACGTATCCGTGGACGAGCGCGGTTGACACAAAAGGGAATCCGCGCACAAATATCTCTTATACACGCGCCTTTATATTTTTATTATTATACTTGTATTTCTTAATGATAAAAAAATTATATTCACAAATTAAAGAGCGACCTTTCGTTAATGTTTATAAGAAGACATTCCAAGAAAAATCAGTAAAGTTCAAAATTGGAATTATTTGAAAAATAAATGTGCTTCCTTATAATTATATTTTCTTTTTATTTATTATTTTTCTGCGGTACAGACGGGAGACATACATTCAACGTTTTATGTATACTTGTTTACTTAACAAACTAAAGCAATCGATTTTATATGTTACTTTTAAATAAATATACCATGTTTAACTGTGCGTTACATCGGGATTGTATACGGGTGCATCTATTTTATACGAGTAAATTGCGTTGTATCAAATAGCCTACGAATGGCCAGTTTTTGTTGTATGTTTATTCAATCACTATTCTGTATAGACACTTGCAGACTTAATGAAGCTCTGCCAATACTATTTGAGCCGCATATATCTTTTTTTACTCCTATGCATCGTAATCCTAACAGTGCTGTGTCGTTTCCCGTAATGCTTTTTCTCGAAACGAAAGCCTAACGAGAATAAATGGGCTATTTATTCGGCCGAGGTTGGGATACGTGCCCAGCTCGCTCGCCACGTAACTACTTCCATATCAACGGCTAGTGGATACCTTATTTATGATTTACAATATACTTACTTAATAATATTTTAGTTTTCCAAAAAGAGAAGGTTTTCAATTCCTACAGAAAGTAGGATTTACAATAACTGCTGGAATTTTTGAAAGGACTTATATAATATCAATATCAATAACTTGTATTACTAATGATCAAAAGTTTAGTCTTCATCTAAATTTCTATTTGGAATTTCTACTTACATGAAATGTGTTGAAAAATGTTTAGAAGATTAACAAAAACATTGCATTGCAGATCATTAAAGTTTTATATAATAATGCTTATAGATATGCTATTATCGAAAGGGCTTGGTGCCGTTCTTCCGGTTTGCTATTAGATGTGTAGTAGTACGTATATTATCATTACGTTTGAGATACTTGTTTTTTGTTTTACCTTTGTATTTGATTACTAATTAAATAAAAATTGAAATGCGAATAGGGATTTTCAAATACGATAATTAGTAATTCACGAATAAATAATTTTTAGAAGCTGTAATACGTTGAGAAGCTTCAAAACAACAACCATAAAAACGCAATAAAAGTTTGTAGCAGCGACACGTGTTGCACACTTGCATCCCATATTGTTCCCTATCTCAGTCTCGTCGTTCACTTTTTCATTTCTATTTCTGTACAATTCCTAACAACCTTTCCCTTTTAGGATAGCGAAAGAAAAGGCAAACTGTTACAAAATTTCGCTGCCGCCGTGAATTCGACTTTCACAAAGTTGTCCATTGTCCTCAACTTAAATGTCATCCAGAGCCCTCGAAAAGTTTATAATTAACGTTACGGAAAAATTCGTACTAAGAAAATCGAATGCCTCTCAGGAGTCGTTTAATCAAACTCGGGACTTGAGCAAGTAAATGGAGAGGTGCGGCCGACCGTTGGTCCTCTGACGACCGTGCGGTGAGGTGCGGGGGCTGGCGGCTCTCAGCGACAACTTTACAACTTCATTATACAATCAGATTTATACCGAGATATACGAGTATCAGAGCTCTAGAATAATAATGTAACATGAACTATGTCTATTATATTTGATTTTGTAATAAGTATATCATTATTGTGTTAGTGCATACACAAAAGTTCCTCATCGTATATTACTTATCTTGATATATTTAATAAATCTTTTATTATTTTTTTCTATCACCTATTGTACCACAAATGAATTACTATTCTGAAAACTCGGTATACATTCTCATGGAATAAAATGAATAGTCTCAAAACTAGTTCACAATGCATAACAAAATTATAATTAGAATATCCTTGATTTTTAAAAAGATTTCATTTAGCATAAAACATTTAGTATTTTAGGTTTAAAATTTCAACTTTTTTATCTTAATTTAAGGCTATATGTATCTGCCAACAGAAATTCAGACAGCCGCGGTTGTATTAAGATTTAGTAGCCTTCCAATTGGCCTACTTGAATAAAAAATGTAATCGCTGCTCATTCCCAAGTCTTATTTATTATCCTTCGAAATTGAATTGCATTTTCACCAACAAACGGAAGTAACATTTTCTGAATTCTTACTATGCGACGATTCCTTTGTCCTATTTCATCTGCAGCACTTTTCATTTTTATTATTCAGTCATAGTAAAAAGCTTTTATGTCCCCTTTAAAGCTGTTTATAGTCGTAATGCTCTCTCTCTATTATTTTGTTTTATTATTTGCAGCTTCTCGACTCACCAACACTCGACTCAGCGAGTATATCGAGCACTACGAACCGTTAGATTACGATGCAGACGCAATCCACGAACAACATCTCCGTAGACGTCGTTCTACGGATACGCAGCCAGACCTGCGACTACACTTTCGGGCGCATGGTAGAAGATTCAATCTACGCCTCCGCCGGGATCTCTCAGCTTTTAGCGATGACTTTAAGGTAAATTATAAGTTTGTTAGATACCCATAACTGGGCGATAATACATTCCGCACGATAATATTAAAAATATTGGTAATACATATGACTCAGTGCCCTCTGAACGTTTTCTTATGTCGAAATATAAGGTCACACTTGTACGAGTATTCAGCACTGTTGAAATGATAAAGTCCATTAGATACACATCATTAATACGTAGTATTTAAGTAACAAATTATTTTGTGTTATTTGAGACTTTTATAAAGTAATTGAAAAGCTTTGAAGCTTTTACTTCACTTCATCGATATGTAAATTAAAAGTGAATTTGACCAGTTTCTAAAATTCGATTCAGCTGAATATTTTAGTATATATAGCGGATCCTAATGCAATATGTTATGACATTTATATTGTATGTAATGATGGAAACGGAAGTAATTATAGGCACATTTTAGTTTTTATTCTATTTGTTTCTCTCGATGACAGAGTTTGAGTGATCCTAATGGAGTTTGTTTTTAAAGTGTTTCTAAGTAACGTTTGTTTACAGGTGGAAGGTTCGCAAGGTCAGCTTCACGACGTCGACACGTCACACATATATCACGGCGAATTGGCTGGTAAGTGGCGAGTTTAAACAAAAATTAACCTTTTACTCTCTAAAATAATATGATCAGCCGTTAGGCAGTTATTTCAATAAGTAAACACGACAGAAATATAACTTAAAACGAGAAGCTTAAATGGTTCAATGTGGAATACCCGCCAACAAGATGGCCTCAAAGTTTGAAGGTGGCGTGTGGCGAATTGGCAATAGCGAGACGAGCGCGACTCTCATTGTACAGCTAGCCCGCCACCGCCGACATTATCTACACCAAGATAGAGCGCTATTGTTTGTCCTCTACCCGCGGGACAATTTAATAAATCCCAGCTCTGACTATGTCAACCGCGACTGTCTCTATAATCAAAGCAGGCTAAACGTGAACTTCCATCTTAAAATGGAGTTAGACCAGGCAAGCTAATTATCGCTCTTACCCTGATTCTTAAAGTTTTGTTAGTGTTAACGCTCTAAGACTACTTCAAGAGCATTCTAACATGAATATTCCTTATAATTTACAAATACCTAATTCTTTACATTATTTTATTCTTGATTACATTTTATGCTCTTTCATTTCGCCTTTAGTCGACATTGCACAGATTCCTCGGTGAGAATTCTACAAATAATAATTTCTTAAGAGCACTAAAACATTTCTTTTTACAATTACTAGAGGCCATGTCAAAATCCTAGCTAATTGAGAGCTTTCGGCGACCACTTGACTTTTAATGTGGGGTGCAAGCCGGAGTGGTCGACGCTCGCTCGGTAGGCTTACGTAAAGAAAGATGCTATGTAAATAATCTCTTTTAAAAATTCCAACGCCATTCGTCATACCCGAAGTATGCAAATTATGTACGCTGAATAAAACGTTATCGTCTTTGTTTGTATAAATAAATTAAATCACTATTGCAATAGGCCACGATGTTTTAACTTTGTGTGAAGTTGGCTACTCTATTTGTTCTACTTGAAGTTCTTGGTTACTCTAGACTGCGATAACAAAAGCAACGAAGTTTCTGAATTATCTTGGTCTGGTTTGCACACAATAGACTTATTGTTTGGACATACTACACTAGTTTGGCTTATAAATGTCTATATAATGTCAGCTACATTGACCTATTCCTTATATAGTATATAATCTTATGAATACAATTTAATCGTTCACAAACCGGTCAAATTCAGTAAAATATAGGGTTCGGTAAACAGGAACGCGTGTGTTTGTATACTGAACATTGTGCGATTGTTATGATCGCAAAACTTTTGGAGCACTGTAAATGGATAAAGTTGTGGTGAGGGCGCTGCCGCATCGATCGCAGTTCGTCGCCCTACTTACTGCGATGGATGCACTTAGCTCGAGCTGTAGCAGTCGTTTAGCATGCACCTCGTGCAGCCCCTCATTCATATCTCTAATTGTAACGTTTCAGATTTACTTATATCAATGTTTATCACCGTATTAAATTTTGCTCCTTATTACTAATGTTATTATAATTGTAACCACTAATAACTGCAGTTATTAAATCCATTAACAGTAATTTATTTGAAGTATGGAATTAATTAGAATTTTATATATATTCACGATTCTGCAGTACATCGAGGATGTTCGCAAAGAATCGTGTAGATTATGTTTATGCTACGATGCGGAAAAGGCATCCCTGTGCAGAATATCTACCAGCGCCAACAGCATCCTAAGTATGATAGTTAAATACTGCTGTGCAATGGCATTTGCCAATAGAATTGTAATGTGATTGTTTATGTTAATTATATTTTTGTCATAAATGTTTGCCCTCTACTTCATACGCCTGGATTTCAGAAGTAGGAAAAACAATGAAATAAACCACTTCTAGATAGCTTAGTAAGACAAAATATGAATCAAATTTTAAGTTAGATCTTCAGAGACACTACTGTTAAGCGTATTCAATTTGGTGCAATAATTTTTGTGTGATGCCGAAACATATATATAGAAAGATGAAATTTCTAAAAATTATTGTATTGGATTCTATAGCTTAAAATAAAATAATTTCATTTTCTATATCAACTTTTCTTAAATGTCTCCCATAAACAGATCTCGTCACAATTTTATTACATTGGTAAGATATTCCAGTTTGTTAAAAGAAAAGGAACTAAATATAGGTAGATACAGTGGTTTGAAACACACCCCAGCAACTGTGAATACGGGCCTTTATTACAGTAAATAAAATTACTCGATAATAAAATAAAGTTGATGTAATAGCAAACTCTTGACTTCAGAAAATATACGCGTATTTTTCTGCTACTGCTCTTAAATTTTACTGGAAACATTTTTCGGAGCCCTGTGGTTTGTGCGGAAAACATTTCACGTCTCTTTTCTATTTATTCGCAAGCCGCCGTTATATATGTATAAAATACTTTTCCGAGGTATATTTTTGTTACTATATCCATAATATAAGGATAAATTTATAATTGATTCTGTGTGCGTTTTACATTCACCTCTTGCTGTATTTTTAAGTGATATCCTAAGTAAGAAAATTCATCTGTGTTTTTTTACAAAAACATCACGTATCCACATAGTCAATTCTGAACTGATTTTGATAATTCTTTTTGGAATCGTTGTAGTTAATTCTTGCGTTAATCAGATATTAATTTATGATTATTGAAGCATTTCTTTGCGGAATAAAAACTGCTTGCTGCAAAGCAATCAATACTCATAGACACGAGTCTATATTATAAATAATATATTTTGGTTGATCAATTAAATGATATAAATTGATTATGTGCAAACTCACTTTTACATTTATAATATTAGTAAAGCTTTTCAATCTAATGTATCTACGAAATATTCAGCGATCATCGATATTTTTGATTGTGAGTTGTTTGTTGTGTGTACTCATTGTAACTATGTCCATTAATGGGTAGGTATATTAAATATGCATTTATGAGCATTTTATATTCATCTTTTACTATATTATGTTTTGTCTAATTTAAACTATGTCACCACTTGATTTAAGAACTTATATTGTTGCCTTGGACGTACAAACCTCTATTTGTTTTAAGATTTCTCAGAAACGTTGTAATTCACAAGTATCTACTCAAATCAATAGGCACTGTTATATTTCCAATATTGTTAATATATAGGCAATTTAATATAGGTAACATTTAATTTAATACGGGAAAATTTTCTGTTCACTCATTCATATTATTGAAAAATATTTATTAATACGAATATGGGAAGTACGTACATACTTACTGATATTTCTCCTTTTCGTCATCTTAATATTAATCGAATGAACTGCATCGGAAGAGAGTAGAAGACAGTTGATGCTTGATGTTGTTGTTGCTTGTGGCAACCTTGAAACGGATTTCGGAGTAGAGGAAACGTAATTTAATGTCTTTTGACCCCTCAAAGACGCAGGTCTAGGCATTTACTGCAAAGGAGGTTCCTTTTTTTTTGTGGCATCCAAATTCTTAGATACTTCTAAGGCATCTAAAAACAACGACGTTCAATTCAGGGGTCATTTGGAGCAGAAAGCGAAACTAGCTTTTAAGAAACTCACTCAGCGTTCACCCTCATTTCTTAGGTGCACGGCATACTACTACTGTACGTTCATCCCATTCATTTCTACCACATACATCTAAGTTGAGGAATGAGCTCCTGTCTTCAATTTTCCCTTTACAACATAATATGGAGAATTTAAAAAAACGTGCTTACAAATATTTAAAAGGCTTGCAACGCAAAGTAACTCGTCTCAAGTTGCAAGTGTTCATGGGCGACGGCAGCCGCTTTCCATCAGGTGATAGTCGTTTGCCTCCCTAACAATAATAAAAAAATCATCACGGTTCCGCTTTTAAATACATACAAGTATTGTAGTTTACATTATCAAATGTTCCTTTACTCCCATATTGTTATCTTTATCACTCCCTACAGTATTCTGACATATTATATTGTTACTAAGTAGCTTCACTTACCGAGAATGGATTTTACATCTGTCTACGTGCTTTATACATGTAACAGAGGATTATTTAACCTAATTGTCCACTTCTGATTATAGGCCATACCATTACCATTTATACCATTGACTAGTATACATGAGACGATTCTCAGCTACCTACATCCATCAATCCATCAATGGATATAGGATCCATTAATCTGGTCGCTTTACTTTGCATTTGCGGGTACGGCCCCATTACACGAGAAACTTTCTTCAACAATTGTCACTTCTGTTTGCTGATTTTTCAAACTATGTTGTTACTTTGATTTCGAATTAATTTATTCTTTAAAAAATATGGTCACATTACAAAAAAATGTTTGGTTCAAAAGATACCTTTTAATACTATATAGTATTCTCTCCCACTCAAAGTTTAACACTCAATATAGCTTATCTCCATAGTTTGGTATGCAAGTAAATCTTTCTCATACGGCTAGCAATATAAAACAAAGTTTCAGAGTTTTGATATAACGTAATCGAGTAATCGTTTGAGTTTACTCCATATTACAAAATTTGTATGGGATTATTATACTAATTTTGTTACGAATAAAGGTTTTTTAATGTCAGCTATCTACCGCTAAAGTTCTCGATTCGTCCATTAGTCAATTAATCTAAACCAGCTAATTACTTGAACCATGCCAGTGAACTTAAGACAGTTTTGTAAAGTCACTGAATTTCTACAGAAAATTTTGTAGTTAAAAACCTTTCGATTTAATCAAGAAATTCATTGTACTGACGGCAGACAATTGTTAAGTTCTCTACTTATAGGTATTTTAATTTCTCTTTTGTCATCAACTTAAAGAATAAATGCGCATAGATTTACAAACAGTAGTAAAGGTCAAATATTTGTTGTAGTGTTTTGAAAACTAACAATACAAGGCTATAAAAAGATTAACAATGATAATTATTTGATTGCGTTATTAAAATATTGTATATTTTTTTTAATATTATTAGGTATCTCTTCACTGTTACAGTATATTGAGTACTATGTATTTTAAATACTATCGCAGGATTCTCGTTCATGTACTTTCCATTACATGTTTTCTCTCTACTATACACAGTTATGTAT